CGGTCTCTGTGTCACAGGGTTTTCCATCTGTAAAAATTCCACAGGACTCCAACCTCCATAAGGGCAGAAACTGTGCCTAGAGTTTATTCGAGACACGCCATGATTGAGTGAATGAAGGGACAGGGGTGCACCCTCTCTGCCCAATGCCCCAGCTCTGAGAATGCAAAGGTCCATGATCCAAACAGAGGCTAGAGAAAGTGACACGAGACAAAACAGAGAGCCAGGGAAAGCTGACCAGGGCCAGCTTCCTTAGATGCTCTTGGGGCGGGTCATGCTGGAGTTTGGGCAAAACTGGATGAGCTGATTCTGAGATCCCAGTTGTCATTTTGCTGAAGCACTGTTGAGAATCCTGAGAGGACGTTCCTTTTCATTTATCTCTACCATCTGACCCTTGACTTCACGCTTTGGTTCAAAACCATCTCTAATCCTGACTGAAGAATTTGGAAAAATCCCAGCAAAAAATTGAACCTCTGCCCCCCACCCTCTGCTATCACTTCCAGCTCCCCATGGAGCTCATGCCCACGTCCCTCCCAAGGTCTCTTGCAGATAATCCCAGAAACATTTACAACACTTGCCTGGGTATATTTCTTTTCTTTCTTCAGCTAATATACAATTTTGCTATTTACAAAAGCTACAAATGGAATGCAAATATGCCCATTTATTTTCCCATATTGTTATCGCTGGATTCTGATTTTGAAGGGGGAAATGTTGCATTTGTGAGAACATTCAAATTTCGTGAAAATTTCAAAAGGGAAGGCTGGTTCTCTCAGTTATGGGAGGTGCAGAAATACAATAGCTTATTAGTCTATTCCAACTAAGATACTCTGTGACTTTACACCCCGCCCCAAAAGACCCCCAACACTAAGAATCCACAGCTCCTCCTTCAGAGATGATGATAGAGCAAAGCTGTTATCACTCTAGTTTTTTCTCAAACATTCTAAATGGCTTTCCAAGCGAGTTCAAGGGTGATTCGGTACTGGGTCTCAGAATTTTGGATAAGAAAAATTTTTATTTATTGTTGAGGTTTTTATTTAAAGATTGGGTTAAAAGGACTGGTTTCTTTTAAAAGATGGACAGATCTTTTAAAAGATCTGTGGACAGATGAAAACTTAAATTCACGATTACGGTCTCACCAATGGTGGAGGGTGGGCAGTGAGTGAAGATAAATTTGTTTCCCTAAACTTGACGTACCAGAATGAAAGGGATTCAGTAAAAATCAAACGTGGTGCCTATTTACAAATCCATTTAGAACTGTGCTGGAGAGGACCTTGGCATTCCCACAATCCCAGAAGTCACCAAGGCTCAGAGGAGGCCAGCTGCATTAAAATTCCCTTTCTGCTCACAGAGTTATCTTGGGCAATGGAGCCCCTTCTGAGCCTCAGTTTCCTCCATAGTAAGATGAAGATGATGGTACCTGTGTAAAGGATTGCCAAGAGAAGTCTTTATCACCCCCCAAAAGCAGTTCAGATGAAAACACTCCGTATCTAGGGTGAGAAGCGTGGAGAGGTTAGTTGATGTGTAAATGATACATATGGTTTTTGGGTTTTTGGGAATTTCAACTCTGGGTGGGGGTCCCCACTCTTGAGGTCAGCAGCTGGAAGGAGAAGCACTCCTTTAGTCAGAGTCAGAGATAAGGAAGGGCTGCCCGATTCTGGGCCCTGAAGAGTTCCCTGCTCCTCTATCCCCCATTCATATGAACCTCCCAGAGTCTTGTCAGTTGCCTAAATAGCTAATCTACTCTATTAATTTGAGTTAAATTGTTAATGGGTGGTAATGGCTTTTAATTTGCTGCCACTCCCATATAACTCTTGTATTTTAACCCAAATACTCAATAATTTAACCTAAAGAAGAGATTACTATTTCTTAGAAAGACCAACGCAGGAAAAGGGACTTATTTAAATAGAGAGGGCAGGAAGAGTGGAGGGACCTGGAGGGCTGAGCCAAGTGTGTGCCCATGTGGCCGTTTACACAGCTTCAGCAGACGTGACACTTGCTGCCAATTCAATCATCTTCCCTCTTTCCAGACCCCAGAAACAAACTCGATTTTCAGAGACAACCTCGAGGCAGTGGGCACGTGCACAGACCACCATAAAAAGGAGCTGGCCCATGCGGATGCAGACGCAAGTGCTGCTTCCAGACAGTGTCCTGTGGTCAACTATCACGAGAGTCCCTACCACTCTCCAAGTAAAAGCCCGTCTCAGTGTCTCTCAGTGCAAGGATTACATGTTACAAAGCTCACTCTCTCCCGGCAGGTGTACTTGATGGATGTTGCTCTGTGTGGGTCTGGTTACAAGGATTTCTCTAGAAGGGATGGACGGGTTCAACAGTTTCCACGTTTCCTGTCCACTCAAAATGACTGTTCTCAAGTGAGTCCAAAGAAGGGAGACCCTGAGCCTGGGATGACCACCGGGTCACCTAACAGGAGATGGATACACTCTGTTTTAACAGTAGCAATTTTGATGAGTTTAAGATGACAGCAATCTCTCCATGATGTTCACAGTAAGAGCTGGTAGAGAAGCAGAGAGCAGCAAAGAGACAGGCCAGCCCGTTTCTTGTTGCTCTCTTGTGTGGTCTTATTAATCAATTATAAGCTGTTTGGGAGACCACAGCTGTACTGTAGCTTGCTCACATCCCCTACCATAATTACATGTCTTCCTTCTAAACCATGAGCCACTAGAGGGCAGGAAATGCCTCTCTCTCTTTCTTTCCCTCTCTCCCCTTCTCTCTCTCTCTCTCTCTCTCTCTCATTTCTCTCTCTCTCCTTTTTGTAGCTCTAGCCCCAAGCACAGAGTGTCTAGCACAGGGTAAGTGCTCAACAAACACGTTGAGTAATGGAATCAATCAATGAACAATTGAAATATGGAGCAGTGTAACAGGTGTACCCCATTCTTACCTCTCTGTTCAGATATCAGAACCATTCAGAAAAACAAGACAAAAACAACAAATACAATTCTACCACTCCTTAACCACCCATGAAGTAGGACAAGGGAAAGATCAAGACACTCAGAAAACTTGGAGATGTGATGGTTAAACCATGTGGCCAGCCACATTGATGGTAAACCCTCCTTTGATGCCCATTACCACCTCTAATGGACCGGGAGACAGACATCCAACACAGTACTCAACCTCACAAAATCTCACTCCAAGAAAAATAAGTGGTATTCTGGAGGAGCTCCCCCGTAGACATGGAGGTGCACAGATTTTGTGAGGGGCTAGAAAAGAAATGAAGTGCTGTCATGGGGATCGGTCCACCCCTCCTCTGGGGAAAAGACATCTGTAATCCATGCCCAGAGCTTTCCCCCTTTCTCTGGAGTGCTTCCCTCTCCTGCCCTCCAGGCAGGGTAATGGAAGGGTAATCCTTCCCTGTAGGAAGATCTTATCTTGGCTTCCAGGGTCAACAAGAGCCGTCCAGCAGCCCCCTAGCTTGGAAGACATCCTCCTGTCCTCCTTCCTACACACAAAGAGGCAGGAGGATCCTGGGCACAGGCAGCCCTCTTACCTCCCCAAGGTGCCCCTGAAGGGACTTAGCCACTGACATCCCCCTCCTCAACCCTGGTGAGAACTAGCTCTGTGTGGGTGGTCCTGGAGGAAACAGCCAATCTGCACCATGCCCCTTTCATTCCACAGTTCTTTTCAGGCCATTAGGATACCCCATATCACTTCTTGAACAGGACCCTTTTCCCCAAACTCAGACCTCAAGGACCCTTTCACAAACCAGATGATCACTTCTAGGAAGTTACATTTCCTGATTTGAGGATTGTTACAATTAGTGCAAGAAAAAAAAAAAAAAGTAATTATCTAATTCCAGTAAAACTTAATGGGGCCCTTGCCAGGCTAATGGTTGGTGCAGAATGTAATTTCAGTTAAATTGTCTAAGGCTGGGGAAGCGAAAAATATTCGGCTTGGGGGGCACTACCCCTTGTGGGAGCCATAATTTCTAGCAGGCCTTTAGATCAAGACAGGAGCCTCCCCCGGGGGTGGGGGGGGAGGGCGGGTACTGATTTTGCTAGGAGAGGGCAAAAGCTGGAGAGGGAAGCCCAGCCCAGAGGCAGAAGAGCCAGGGCAGAGGCTGGGCAGGGCCTACTCTGAGTCTGCCATTGTGGGTAGAGCTGCCGCTCCAGCAGGAGCCCAGAGTTCTAGCCAAGACTGCGCGACCTCAGGCAACTCAGGGAGCCTCTCCGGATCCAGTCTCTCGGTTTTATCAATGGTGACCAAGATGACCGCCCGGAGGGGGTGGTTTCTAGGGGGCTGAGCACCTCGCCCACAGATTGCAATCAGCATCTCCGCTGAAGTTGGCCTATCTTGGATATCTCTTCTCTCCTCCCTCCCCCCCCCTCCTAATTCGTCAACTGCTTAAACATCTGCCTGGTTGAAACCGCCTCCTCGCCGAGCGCTGGGGACTGTCCCCAGGTGTAGGTCTTTGTGTCGCCAAAACTTTGCGAGAAAGCGAGGGCGCTGGACAAAGAGCGAGCGCGGGAGGGCGTTTGCCAGCCGGCTGGGGACGCCGGGCGGTGCGCACTCTTCCCGGGGCTCTGCTCGGTACCCGGACGCCCGCGGTGCCCCGAGCCCAGCCTCCCTAGGCGGGGAGTGGCGGGTTCTGGCCACATCCCAGCGCCCTCGGGGACTGAAAGAAGCCAGGCGGGAGGAGCAAAGGCGGATGACTGGACCTAGGAGTTGACTAGGGTGGGAGGAGGCGATCAGAGGCGCGGAGCAAAGCTGTCAAACTGCACTCGGAGCCCCGCGCGGGGGGGAGGAGGGAGGGGAAGGGAAGGGGAGGGAAAGAGGAGGGAGGGGGAGAGGAGGGGCGGGCGAGAGCGAAGAGGGAGCGAGCGGGCTCGCCGCGGCTGAGCAACCCCTGTCTGCCGCTGTCGCCGCCGCCGCCGCTGGCCCGCACTCGCCCGGAGCGCAGGGTGGCTGCCCCGCTGCGCGCCGCGCGCGGAGGCTCCGGCGCCTGCCGCTGCGCCCTCCAGCCCCCGCTCCTCGCGCCGGCCCGCGCGGGTCCCGGCGGGCGCGAACCCACCATGCAGCTGCAGTTCCGGAGCTGGATGCTGGCTGCGCTCACGCTGCTCGTGGTCTTCCTCATCTTCGCAGACATCTCGGAGATCGAAGAAGAAATCGGGTAAATAGCTGCACCCGGGCCCGTGCAGAGCCCTGGCGGGATCTCTCCCACCCCGGTACTCCGCCCCCAACACCCGCTTTGTGTGCGCCGCGCCCCCCTAACGCTCAGCTGGAGAAGTGGGGGGGAAGGTTTTGGCCCGGGGAGGCGGTGCCGGGGGACCGGGACGGTTTGGGGCGCGGAGCATGGGGGCGCGGCTGCCGTGGGGTGTCCCCAAGCGGGGAGCACGGGCAGCCTCCAGCTGGCCCGCGTCAGGGAGCAGACTCGCCTACCCTACCCCCCTTCCCTAGCGTGTCCGCGAACGATGTCGCCGGGGTCGAGGGAGGGCGCCGGGGAGTGTCTGGGGTGGGCGGAGGGGCCGAGAGTGGTGGAGGCAGGAGTTTCTTTGTCTCCAGCTCGGCCGCTTTCTCGCCTGGCAAAGTGGGCAGGGGGCGCGCGGGGATCTCTGCGCTGGGGGAGGGGATCCCCGGGTTGGAGCGGAGGGCGGGGGCTCTGCACTGGCTCCCTGGAAGGGGAGTGTCCCCAGTACCTACCGACTGGCACACGCTCCTCCCGCCCGCCCGGGAGCCCGGCCTTGGGGCGCCAGCTGGTACCGCTAGAGGCGAAGCGCGCGGGGCTGGGCTGAGACTCTCTCCCTCGCCTGGGTTTGGACGCTCAGCTAACCCCACGGCGCCCCCTGCGCCCACGGGTTCCTGTGCGCTCTCAGCGCGGAGACCGAGACCTTTCGGGAAAGTCTGTGTTGCCGCGGGGTCGTCTTCGGGGCCCCCAGGAGCGCGGTATCGCCCCGGCATCTCTCCCGATCTCTCCAGAGGTGGGCCGGGAACGCGAGCCCCTGCCCTGGCGCGGGACTTCCAGGAGCGCTCACTTGCGGCGCGGGACGCACCCGCTGTCGGGCGGGGAGGCTGGGACTCGCGCCCCGCCCGGCAGCCTCCCCGCACGCTCCGCCGGGTCTCTCTGCTTCAGCGCCACAAAGAGCGTCCAATCCGCGGCGGGCAGGTGCGGAGGCAGCTAGGGTTCTGAGGGACCCTGAGGAGAGATTCCTGGCCCAGGGCTGGGAAAGGGTGAGGTCGCCGAGCGGCAAAATGTCCCCTCCCCCTTGGGGCTAGAGCCGAGCCTGGCGCCCTACTCGAGGCCCGCGCCGCGTGCGCCCCCTCCTTTGTCCCATTTGTTTCATTCATTATCAGCTGGAGTTAAGGGCCCACTAAGCTGACAGGTCCCTCAAAAAGGAAATGACAGGATCCCGAGGCCCTAAGGACCCAAACCTGGGGCAGGCGCCACTTCCTGCCCTCTCCTTTTCTCCCGGCCCCTTCCCATCTCAGAAACCCAAGAATTCCTTCTGTGAGCTCCACTACCTTTCATGAACCCCTCTGCCAGCCTCCTCCTCTTCCTCATCCTCGGTTTCCCCACGAGCTCTGGAAACTTTCGCAAATACTGTTCAGTTAATACGTGACGTGCTCCCACACAGAAATAGAGAAATACGTTACTTTCCATAGCTGTTTGCCCCAAAAAACAGGGTGGGAGAGGAAAGCGGGCAAGCCAAGTCTTGGATGATGGATGGCCCGGTGGGGAGGGCCTTCCTCTCGGTTCTCCCTCCCTTCTCCCAGCTGTGGGCTCTGCTTGGCCCAGACCACTTGCTGACCTTGACAGGTGAGAGGAAGGACCAGCAGCTGCCCATTGTTCTGCTATAGAAACATAAGAAGTGGGGAGCCCATTCAGGCATCCCTGGCTTTTCCATTCACTGAACTTTGACTGAACAACTTCTACATGCCAGGGACTTTTAATTTTTAAAATGCAGTCAGGAAATCACTTTGCACACAATGCTTCACTTTCCTGCCAAATGCTTTACAGAACCCCCAGCGCCCCCCCAACCCCACCCCACATCAGGTTATTTCAACAGGGTATCCAGGAATAAGCTCCTAGGCCAGAGCTAAGAAGGGCCTTTACCTATATATGTAAAACCCAGGGCTCCTCTGCTATGCCCCGCGACCTGTTTCATTGGGGAGGGGAGTATCTGTTTGGGCTGACGCTGGGAAAAATTGTCAGACGGGTCAAATGCGTAATCTTCTGTGGCATCACCCCTCCTTCTTGGTGTCCCTGTCCTCAGGCTGATCCCCAGCTAGACCCGTTTTGACCCAGGCTTGAAACATCTCCCCCACTCACTCCCTCCCCCAGTCCCACTCCCAATCTGTCCCACACGTGTTTAAGTGGAGGGGAGGCATATCTGGGATTTGCCATGGCTGGAGGAGGAAGGATATCGGGCAGAGGACCAGAATCCCAACAGGTGTGATGTCTGCTTAGAGGCTAGGTTCCAAGCTCAGTCACTTTAATCCTTGGAACCACCCCAACTTTGAGTGATCAGCCAGGGCTCAGTGGGTTAAGTGGCCAGTGAGGGGTGCCAGGAGCAGGGCTCTGTCTTCCTCATTTTATTCCTTCCTGGGAGACCTGGACACATATTCAAGACCATGGTGCCACTGTCCCAGCCGTGCCCATGCTTCCCCATCTTGATCTCGACCTGCACCAGGGATGGCTGTTTCTGGAAGGAGGGACCCCATGGTGTTATTAGGAAGGGAGGAAGGAAGACATTTCATTCTGGACTAAATAGTCAAGGATTAAGGAATGAAACATGAATGAGGGAAGAGAATTGCACATGCATTGTCTGGTGGAACAAAAGTGAGATACACTTTTCTTAAGCTCTTGCACCCCCTTCTTCTAAAATGAAGGTTTTGGTACGGTAGTCTCAGAGGTCCTGTCCTGCACAAGGAATACAATGGGTTGCGAGGGGCAGGTTTTTCTTCCTGAAGCTTTTTCTGAGAGACTCGTTTCTTTTCCTCAGTGATGCTTTTCACCTTCTAACTTGCTTGCTTGTGGAAATGCCTCCCTGGGGCCAAGAGGGAAAAGGAAAGGTAGAAAGATGAGTTCGCTGCAAAGCACTCAAAGAGTGAATTCAAATTCTACATCAGACATTGGGTGGGGCTTTGTTAAAACAGCCCCCAACAATTCATGCAGTGCCCCAATTTTTAGTCCAAGTTGTAAGCTAAAATGTTTCTTTCTGATTGTCCCCTGAACTTTAGTCTGGAGGGTAACCTACAACAGAGGGGTGTGAGGCGTGACTCTCTTACCCACCAAGATGTCCCCAAATCCAGTGCACAGAGACATTCAATAAACTTCTATTGCACTGGCCCGGTGATGGGCACATATAGCATCTTTGGGCAAAGCAGACACCCACAGATCCTTAGGATGGGAAGGAAGTGTGAGGTTCCCCCCCAGGAAACCTCCCCTTTTTTTAAAGTTAGTGTAAATTTGACCCTGTGAAGCAATATCACTTATCCAATATCACACCCTGACCTGGTAAAGAGAGGACAGGCCTGCACAGGTCTCCTTATTTGCAACCCAATGCCCTCATCCCTGAATGAGTTCCTTGAACATAGTCTCTGGTTTCAAAGAAGGTAAATAGTAATAATAGTAATAATCACGATAATGGTGAAGATGAACGTGATCATGGTCATTAGCATTTATTGATTTATCGAGTGCTGGCTATGAGCCAAGAGCCATTCCAAGTGCCTCATTGATATTAACATACCTTTTTGTCATGGCAACACAGTGGTCACCTCCCCAGGGGCAACAAGACCTCCTACTGGCCAAACTGTGTGTGCCAGACACTGGGCTAATTGCTTTAAAGTACTACTTCGCTCAATCCTACTGTATCTCTTTAAGCTAAGTGCTGTGGCTATCTCCAGATTGTCAGTGAGGAAACTGAGACTCAGAGAGGTTGGTGATCAAGCAAGGGACCCCAGTTCTGTAAAAAGTCTCTCTAGACTGCCCTGTCCTCTGGGTTCTTTCACCCTGTGATAATACTACAGAACGGGTCTCAGAACTTCACTTATTTCCCAGGGATGTTGCACAGGCCCAGAGTTTTCCTAAGACCATAGTCTGGCCTCAGCAGCTTGCAAAAAGGGAAGGTGAGTGAAGGAGACTGTGGGAAGGACAGAGGACTCGTCTCCCCGAAATGCCCCTTTGGTCCCATCAAGTTCAGTGTGATGCCAGAGGACAGATGCTGGCACTATCTGTCCCCTGGCTGTCCAGACAAACTCATGGGCCACAAGCAGGAGCATCCTAGACTCACAGGTAGGACCTTGGGCTGAAGCTTCTGGAGGGAAAACCCCTATCCGTTTGCAAATCTGATTTAGATGTCAATTGAAAGAGAATTCTGACGTCTACACACCATGTATGATTGGGCGTCCGGAGGCCTGGAGCAGGCTTGATAGTAGAGATATTTCACAGTGGGTCCCTGTGAGCACTGGCCTATTGGCATGGACATCTGACTGGTCAGGACGGATGCCATCCAGTCACCCTGGCCAGGAGTCCCAGTGCACCCCAAGCAGACATCAGACCACAACTGTGGAGAATTAAGATGGGGGGCGGGCTAGCTCTGGTCCTTGGCTGTGACCAGGTCTGCAAGGAGGCAGCCACTGTGGCCATCCGCCAGGAGCGAGGTGAGGTGCACCTTTTGGTCGCACCTGATGTGAAAGAAACAAGCTCGTCTTTGAGTCCTGAAGCGCAGGGACCTTGTCAGGAGAATACATATTTGCTCAAGACGATGCAATCTTTTTTTCTTTTTCTTTTTTTTTTTTTTTTGGAAAAAGCTCATTCTTCTTCCCAATCCTGGTGTACTTCCCTCTCGTATAAACATGACTGGAGGATAAAATAGGAGAGAAGGCTCTGGTTTTTAACTCACTTGCCCAAGTCCTGTTGCCAACTGTTCCTAGCATCAAATTTAAATTGTAAATAGATATCCATCTTGGAAACCAATTCACCACTCAGGGCCTCTTTCCCCCTTATAAAGCAGGGTTGCTAGGTTTTAAAATTGTTTAGGTTTTACAAATTGGAGATGTTGTAAATTGCAAATTATAAATACTTCTCAGAGAGAGTAGAATTCTAGAAAGGCTCCCATGCTTTGAGCGCAGTGTGCAAGGTAATACATAATCTGGTCCCGGCCTCCTGTT